GTGACAGAATTGTCATAATTTGTTTTGAAAAATAGTTGAATTTGAAGAAAAATATGTTAACGACATTAAGAAAGATATGAAAATTTGCTGAAATTTATTTATTTATTTATTTATTTATTTATACATAATACAGGCCGGAGCCCAATTACAGGAGTATATAATAATAATAGTTATAATAAGAATAATAATTACAATGAACCAATGTAGGTGAACAAATGAAAATATATATCTAGTTCGGAATAAGAGTGTACAATTGCTTTCTGAACTGGGTTAAATTTGAAAAAAATATATCTACAGACGGCACATTATTGAGGCTTCTACACATAGATGTGATAGGACTATTGAGGTGATGTTGTGAATTTGGAACATCGATTTGGAAAGTCAGGTTTGATCTTGAAGTGATACGGGGTATGTTGAAACTCAGTGTGGATAAAAGGGACGCCGAATCTATTTGATTATTTATTAATTTATATGCAAATATCATGTCTGCTATTTCACGTCGTTTTTTCAAGCTAACGAATGCAAATTCTTCTAGTAACAAATCGTAATCGCAGTGACGTTCAGGATAAATATATATTTTTTGAAAAACAACAATTTGAGAAATTTTTTTTGTACTGTTTCCAATGCTTATATGTGTTTAACTTGGCTTGGGTTCCATACCGCACTGCAGTATTCAAGCTTGCTACGTACAATGCAGTAGTAAATAGAACAAAGAGCTCTAAGATTCGTAAATTCTTTACAATTACGTATGAGGAAACCTAGAGCCCTATTGGCATTGGATTTAATTTTTTCAATATGTAAATTGAATATTAATTTGCTGTCAAATATAACTCCCAGATCTGTACATTCGTTTACCCTGCGTAGTTTACCATCTTCGATGAAATATTCGAATAAAAATGTGGAAACTTTTCTAGAGTAGCTCATAATTTTGCATTTCTCAATATTCAGGGGTAAATTATTTTCAGAACACCACTTGAAAAGAAGATTCAGATCGTTTTGCAGACGCAAACAATCTGCAATATCTGTAATTTCTGTGAAAATGTTCATGTCATGGTGATTCTGCTTCTTATGATGCTGAAAATAAAAGACTTGTGATTTAATGGACTGAGAAAATTATTTGAATATGTGAGTGACAAGCAGATCGGAAAAAATCTGAAATGTCAAAAGATATTTCAGAAAATATAAAGATGATCTAAATTACGATTTTTTGCACCCAAAAGATTATGACAAAACTAATGAAAATTCAACTAACAAGTTGATAATTTCAGACTAAGATGATGATGAAACAAGTATATCTTTGAAGAGCCAAGTAAGTGATGATGCTTTTTTTTTAAAGAAAAAATAAACTTCTACAAGATCTGTGGTGAGCAAAAGATGTAATAATTTTGGAAAATGAACAAATATTTACCACTCTCACCAATCAAGTGAAATTTGATACTGAAGAATACAAAAACATGTCAAGAGAAAGAAATGAGAAGCAAGATATGATAATCAAAATTGATTCTTCCAATGAAAAAATAAAAATTTTGGCATTGAAACCAAATAAAATTCAAAGATATACATTTACGTGACACAATTGGCATTATCTGTCCTGAAAAATAGTTGAAATACATGTACGTGACACAATTGGCATTATCTGTCCTGAAAAATAGTTGAATTTGAAGAAAAATACGTTGATGAGATTAAGAAAGATATGAAAATTTGCTGAAATTGCTGATCTTGCTTCTTATGGTGCTGGAGATAGATGACTTGTGATTTAATGGACTGAGAAAATTGTTCGAATATGTGAGTTACAAGCAAATCGAAAAAAAATCTGAAATGTCCAAAGATTTCATAAAATTTACAAGATGATCTAAATTACGATTTTCAATGCAGCCAAATAGATTAAGATAAAAAGTTGATAACTTGAGACTTTGATGATGATGGGACAAGTGAATCTATGAAGAGCCAGGAAATTGATATGATTTTTTTAATAAGAGAAAATGAACTTTTACAAGAACTGTTGAGAGCAAAAGATGTAATATTTTTGGAAAATTAACAAATTATTACCACTCTCACCAATCAAGTGAATTTTGTTACGGAAAAATACAAAAACATGATAAGAGAATGAAATGAGAAGAAAGATATGATAATCAAAATTGATTCTTCGAATGAAAAAATAGAAAATTTGGCATTGAAACCCAACAACATTTAGAGAAATACATTTAGGTGACAGAATTGGCATGACTGTTTTGAAAAATAGTTGAATTTGAAGAAAAATATGTTAATGACATAATGAAAATATGCTGAAATTGTTGATTCTGCTTCTTATGATGCTGAAAATAAATGACTTGTGATTAAATGGACTGAGAAAATTATTTGAATATGTGAGTGACAAGCAAATCGGAAAAAAATCTGAAATATCAAAAGATATTTCAGAAAATATAAAGATGATCTAAATTACGATTCATTGCACCCAAAAGATTATGATAAAACTAATGATAATTCATCTAACAAGTTGATAATTTCAGACTCAGATAATGATGAAACAAGTATAACTTTGAAGAGCCAAGTAAGTGATGATGCTTTTTTCTAAAAGAAAAAATTAACTTCTATAAGAACTGTGGAGAGTTAAAGATGTAATCATTTTGGAAAATGAACAAATATTTACCACTCTCACCGATCGAGTGAATTTTGTTACTGAGAAATACAAAAACATGATAAGAAAAAGAAATGAGAAGCAAGATATGATAATCGATTTTGATTCTTCGAATGAAAAAATAAAAAATTTGGCATTGAAACCAAATAAAATTCAGAGATATACATTTACGTGACACAATTGGCATTATCTGTCCTGAAAAATAGTTGAATTTGAAGAAAAATACGTTAATGAGATTAAGAAAGATATGAAAATTTGCTGAAATTGCTGATCTTGCTTCTTATGGTGCTGGAGATAGATGACTTGTGATTTAATGGACTGAGAAAATTGTTCGAATATGTGAGTGACAAGCAAATCGAAAAGAAATCTGAAATGTCAAAAGATTTCATAAAATTCACCAGATGATCTAAATTACGATTTTTTCAATGCAGCCAAATAGATTAAGATAAAAAGTTGATAACTTGAGACTTTGATGATGATGAGACAAGTAAATCTATGAAGAGCCAAGTAAGTGATGATATATATTTTTTTAAAAAGAGTAGATGAACTTCTACAAGAACTGTTGAGAGCAAAAGATGTAATAATTTTGGAAAATTAACAAATTATTACCACTCTCACCAATCAAGTGAATTTTGTTACTGAAAAATACAAAAACATGATGAGAGAAAGAAATGAGAAGCAAGATATGATAATCAAAATTGATTCTTCGAATGAAAAAATAGAAAATTTGTCATTGAAACCAAACAAAATTTAGAGATATACATTTACGTGACACAATTGGCATCATCTGTCCTGAAAAATAGTTGAATTTGAAAATACTTTAATGAAATTAAGAAAGATGTGAAAATTTACTGAAGTTGGCGAACTTGCTTCTTATGGTGCTGAAGATAGATGACTTGTGATTCAATGGACTGAGAAAATTGTTCAAATATGTGAGGGACAAGAAAATCGGAAAAAATTCTAAATTACGATTTTTTTCAATGCACTCATAGATTGTGATAAAACTAATGATAATTCAACCAGCAAATTGATCATAACTGTTTTGAAAAATAGTTGAATTTGAAGAAAAATACGTCAGAAAAATATGAAGATTTGCTGAAAATGGTGAACCTGCTTCTTGTGATGCTGAAGATAGATGACTTGTGATTTAATGGACTGAGAAAATTGTTTGAATATGTGAGTGACAAGTAAATCAGAAGAAATCTGAAATATCAAAACATATCTCAGAAAATATAAAGATGATCTAAATTACGATGTTTTTCAATGCACCCAAATAGATTATGATAAAACTAATGATAATTCAACCATCAAGTTGACAACTTCAGACCTTGATGATGCTGAAACAAGTATATCTATAAAGAGCCAAGTAAGTGATGTAATTTTTTTAAAAAGAGAAAATTAACTTCTACATGAACTGTTGAGAGCAAAAGATGTAATAATTTTGAAAAATGAAAAAATAATTACCACTCTCACCAATCCAGTGAATTTCGTAACTGACGAATACAACAACATGATAAGAGAAAGAGATGGAAAGCAAGATATGATAATCAAAATTGATTCTTCGAATGAAAAAATAAAAAACTTGGCATTGAAACCAAACAAAATGGAAAATTGTGAAACAAAATATTATGCTGACATACTAAAAAATGAAAATACAAAATAAAATGATATTCCTCATGATATTCATTTTTCAGTATATGAAACCAAAAAATCAACATACATCGGAGAAAACCAAAGACGATATTCAAAACAAATTCAACTCAGCAATAGTCAAGGCCAGTATAATGACAATTCAGGAAATTGGAAGAAGAAATATGGACTATGATATTTTTATGCATTGAATTATTTCTCATTTTATTTTATGACATGAAATACAAGATGGTCGAACAATATTTTCCAGTAGGAACGGAATTTTTCGAATGTTCGAACTTTCGCTTTCTTTTAAAATGAACATTCCTTATATTTTTTGACTATGTGATGAAGAATACGATGTAGGATAGGATTCATGAACATTTTCTCATTGTAGATCCCTAAGACGATTTGTAACAATTTTCGAATAATTGAACTTTGGGAATTGTAAGTAGCTAGAACACACTGTATAATTGACCAAATGTAACAACACCGAAGAAAAATACTTCCGATAGTATCTCATATTGATGACTGTTTAGATCTTGATTATGCAGAATAGTGATTATTACCCAAAATACCGTGCCGTGTTTTATAACAATGAAGAACAAATGAAAGTTTCAGTATTTAATATTGTTCTTCGAAAACATGTTCTTAATTGTGACTGTATGTATACAACATGGTCAAATAAACTACTCTACTCTACTCTACTCTAACGTTGTCATTGCATTTTCAGCAACCGTACACCCTGAAAATGCACCTGTCGACGCTGCTGATAATGGACTTCCATTCCCATACCTCGCTGACGGAGGTGATGGGCCTGGTAGCCGGCCGCTGGACGGCACGAAAAAACATGCTTACCATAACGGGGTACGAGCCGTGCCGCAACGCAGCTTCGTCGGCCACGCATTGCGACATGTGCCCGATATCGCAGGCGCGGGCTGCCGATGTCATCCACAGAAAAGGTAAGCTAACTTGAAAAAGCTAAGTGAAAAACTCAACTTACTTGAAAATTTTGAAATTCATAAAGCCAGGAACCGAAAAAACCCGCAAAACGTTTGTACACCAAATACGCGGGAGACGGCTTTTCACGCACGTGTTTTTAACGCATTCATTGCGGGAGCCTGGCGTTCCCTCAAGATGCAACTAAACATGTCTCAACAGGATTCAACGATTGTGAATGCGGTTTTCATTTTATTCAATATTTCAGTATCGAAGTAGTAGCTGCCTCAGTTGGTTGGTTTTCATTTGTTTCAAGTGAATTCAAACCACGAGCTCGAAAATATCTCAATGACGATCATGAAGAGTTGTTGTATGCTGAAAGAAACTTAATTTTGCTTTGCGCCTTGTGATGTTCCACTGTGTATTATAAAATGTTTTGAAAGGTATCACACTGCCAAACATTATTAAATTCCATTTCATATATGGGAATATTTTCAATGGGCTTATATCACAAAAAAAATGTATTTCATAATTCGATAGAACTCACCCAAACTAGCTCACCACCGCAAACCGTTTCCTGCTGTGAGCTCCCTACGTTTTATAAAGAATTATTGAAATCCCCGATTTTTCGGACCTCTGAAAACGAGGCGATAATGTGACGTCGAAACCCTAATACTGAAACAAGACTATTCCAGACAGAGATGAATGATACATGATTTCTGACAGAGTGAATTAGCGCGAGATCATAGTTGAAAGAATTAATATATTAGTTGCCTCAGTCTCCGTCGGGCGTTTGTTTTTTTTAACTATGGCGAGATGAGGTTTCTACGTCATATGAGGGTCCGTTTTCAGAAGGTACTATTATTTATGTCCAAAAATAAAACATTCCAGTTAATTTTTCGATCGAATTATGTCGTCAATCATCATTTATATATAAAAGGATCATTATAAACATGGTTTGAGTTCAAAGTTCTACTAAGGTGTACACGCCCATTCATTATAGATATAAGGAATCGCATTGTAACATTTCATTTTGAATAAAGACTATTGGAATAGAACTTATTTTGGGTTGAAATATGTAAAAAAATCGCATTCACAAGTTATCCTGTGGTTGCGGGAGACGGGTGTACACGTCCGTACCTGACTTGCGTATACCGGAAGAAGGGCGTTCCCGCAACGCTAAATTTTCCTCGTTTTGAGAGCACGACTATCAAAATTTTACCCGCAATGAAAGGGTTAAGAATCCCAAAAAAATAAATTGTATCAATGAACAGACTCATTTTGACTGTTCTAAGCTTTTCAACTGTCTTACATTTATCAAAACTTGAAAATAAAAATTATTCAATTCCATCTGATAGGACTGATTCAATACCTAAAGTTGACCTGACGATTCATGAACCATAAATTTGTTATTGCCCCATCTCGATATCATTATACTCTCCCCATCTCTAGTCTATTTGATGTTCCATGTCACCTCTGTCACTTCATGTCAAAGTCATGCCATTCGTTTGATGTTTGATTTTCGACATCTCATTATTCTTGTCTTTTTAAGAGTTCGGCATGAACAGATAAGAATTTTTTCGATTTTGATCTGAATCGTACCCACTATAATTATGAAATTTGAAGTTCCCTAACAAAGGGGTTCCGCAATAATTGCGGTGCCCATTTAACTTTTTTATCTTTTTCTAAAACATTTTTCAATAATATAAATATGTGAACATAACTTTTTTCCTCCAGAACAGATGAGTTTTTTAGACCTATCATTGTTGAGGGGTTTCTCTGACATTGTTCTTTGTTTTTCTCTCACTTTAGTGCTCCTATGTAACAATAACGCTGATGATGAAGCTTTAAAGCTTCGAAACATGTCCCTGTAAGTTTGCTTACAATAAAGTATAGTTTTGGTGGAGTAGACTGTAAGAATTTTGTCCTGTCCTGTAAACTAACTTGATTTGTCTTGAATCCTGTCTGTAGGTTAATCGAGGAGGTGGTAAATTCATTTTTTCCACCACTAAGTATAAAACCTTTTATTATTTACTCATTTTCGAGGCGTAAAGTGTGTTCTTACTACCAAAGTAGTTTTCGTCATTTTATGAACCACTAGTCGACAAAGGCATAGCCACCTCTGTTGTTATGAACCCGAATGCACTGTTCTGATCAGTGTTCTGTGAGCAAGCGTGGTAAGGTGTGACTTGGTAATAAAAAGATTCCAGAAGTGAGAATTATTTCTCGCTCTCTTTCTTGAATGGCTCTGTGCTAAAACGCTGTGAGACATCAAGCATCAGCGAATTGTTCAATAAAAATTGAAGCCAAAACTAATTATAAAGGCTGATCAACACGTCTAAGCAAGTACTAAAGTTACTAGCATTCGTTTTAATTTTCAAATCGTCGGAAATATACAAATTGGAAGCATATTCATCAACCTAAACCATTGCAGGCCTTCTACCTTTTGAGCATAATCACAGATGCCATTTTGGGAAGCCGCTACCTGAACCTGATAGTTGCGAGTTATATGCTCCAACCCCCAGAAAACCCTTAGATTGTAACTTCCATGTAGTGCTGACTTAGGTTTATACGAATACGATTGACCATGCTAGATAGTTAGTTTTCAGTTCTGTTAGCGACGTCGTACCGTCCACATCTCTCTGTACAAATAAAGTTATTTGTTCGAAACTAAAATTTTGGCTTTTTTAAAAATAGTTTCTCGTGGCCCGAAAGCTTAATTGGCGCAGTCGGTAGGATAACGGGAGAATATCGATCGCGAAATTCGTCAGTTTCAACTGTTAATCCGTTATCGAAAGAACAGCTTCGATCGCCCACCAGAGACCGGCATACCCAGTTGCTGCAGACTCCAGCTAAGGATAGCCTGATTCACCACCGTGGTAAGTCGAGTATTCCTTTCTGCTTTCAAATTTTCTCCGAAAACTTTATCGTAAAGATTTTCGCTTGAATTTGTCAAATATCGATTATCAATATCAATTTATCCATCATTTTTCTTTTATCGCAATCGAAATCGGTGGACTGACTTTAGAAGTCAACTAGATTAGTAACTATCGATCTGATCCAAAGAATTTTTATTTCTCACCCGAATTTCTTGATAATTAAATAAATATATATAATCGCATTTCGAAACTAGACACTGTCAGAGTTCGTTGCATTCTCAGAAGGCGACGACGTTTGTTCGAGTGAAATATTACACGGTTTAAAAACCGACGGTGATAAGAAAAAGAATAGCTTGTATTACACGGTGTTATCTTGTAATTCTCGAAAGAAATTGTTTTATTCGTTCAAAGAATATTTTTGTGAGATATTTCAGTGAATTCATCAAAATTCAAGCATACGAAATAACATTTGATGACCGATCCCGTTATTGAAAGTTTAGCAAATACTTTAAGTTCATTGCGAGTTTCGAATATGACGGAGGTAAACTATACGCTGTTCAAAATTTATTCGGACACCATTCCAACATACGATGGGTCGTCAGAGACCCTCGAAATATTCATAAACGCTGCCGACCAATTCCACAAAAAATATCATGGCACGGACACCACATTAAATCAATGCATTTTGAGTATACTATTGAGTAAGCTGAAGGATAGAGCCCAGCTTTTAATCGGAGCAAGAACCGAATTGAAGACATGGACTCAAGTAAAATTAGAATTAAGAAATACTTTTGGCGACCGCCAAAGCCTTGACAACCTCGAACAACAACTGTTTACTCTCACACCAAACAGGGGCGAACATCCCCTAGACTTTGCAAAGAGAATCCAAGTACTACGTAGTAAATTAGCATTTAAAATAAACTCTGACGCCGACATGGGCCAAGATGTTAAACTGATACATATTCGACAATACGAATCCCAATCCCTCAAAGTATTCTTGAGAAATCTGAATGTACGACTACAAGACAAAGTTATCGTCCAGAATCCTGATTCCCTAGAAGCAGCGATGAACTTCGTCCTGGAGGACGAGAACTTCAGACACACTCAGAATCTAGTATTCCAAAACCGCCCGAACGCTAATGCGCCCAAACCACCTAATAGACAAATTGAACAAACTCGAAATAACTTTCATTCAAACTATAGCTTTCCAAACTCTCAGCCAATGGCCCCAACTCAAATGACAAGGAACCAAAATCAAACCCAGGGTTTCCGAAATCAACCTTCCAACATCGCTAGAACGCAAAATCAGTTCCCAAATTACAGCCAAAATAATTTTAGACCATCATTTCCCAGCCAACCTATAAATGTCCAACCGAGACCAGTGAGGCAAACATTCCCAACCAACAGACAAGTGTTTGGCCCGCCACGAAATGTTTTTAAACCGACAGGCAAACCCGATCAAAGGACTTTCGAACCGATGTCCACTACATCCAGAAACCCAACGGTTAGCAGACCCATGTCCCATTCATTCACCAATCCGGCCCAATCGCAACCACGAAGATGGACACCCATCGACGAGGAAATGTACAATCACAGCTACGATCAATTTGATTCCGCGCATGACTATTACCCGAATAATTACCAGAACGACTATCACACCTATGACCAAATTGACACTATGCAAGAACTCTATCCTGAACACTATCAAGATAATTCTTATACCGACCAATGCCCTGAACAATCAGATTTTTTTTTTTTTTTTTATCGCTTGGAGCGCACGAAAGGGCTGATGAACCGAACAATTACACCCACGAATCTGAAAATGAAAATTTTTACAAATCGCCTCCAAAAAACCAGACAATGTGATAGAACTTCATTCTGCCACAGTCAACGGACTCCCATACATAAAAATTCGTAATCCCCCGATTAAATTATTGATTGATACAGGATGTCACACCTCAATTCTCAAGCCATCGATCATCGAAAAATATTATCCTGATAGAATTTTTAGGCAACCGTCCCAACTAAAAGCTTCCTTAGGCGAAAAAGAAATTCAGTTTAGAGCCCTTATCCCCGCTTTTGAAGAATTCCAGAGTTGTTATGAGACCGAGTATGTGTTATTTCAATTTCACGAATTTTTTGAC